TCCGCCACCTTCCTTTCCCTGCCTTCCCACACCTCGCCCCGCCTTCCCTCCCGCGCATTCCCCCGCCTTGCCCCGCCTGGCCTCCCCTGCTATCCCGCGGCCTGCCTTCCTGCGCCCCGACTTGCCGCACCTCTGTTCTCCCCACGTAATCGGTCGTTTTTTAAACTGACCGATTACGTAATCGGTCAGTTTCAAGAACGACCGATTACGTAATCGGCAGTTTTTGGAACTGGTCGATTACGTAATCGGTCGTTCTTGAAACTGACCGATTGATGTAGCTCAGTGGCTAGAGAGCACCAGTTGGAAATGCGCATTGTGGTATGAGGTTGCGGGTTCAAAACTCAATTGCAGCCTTGCGCATGGACACCGGCAGGGTGTTAGAATAACGCACGGCTGGACACATTCCCTTGGGCTGACACACGGTAAGCTTATACAGAGACTGCCTGCGCACCACCCAAGGGTGGTCCATGGTGTTGTATGTCAGGTCTTGAGACTGCGTGGGTTGCTTGTGGCTGTTGCTCGTGGTTGTTCTGTTGATCTCCCCAGTCTGGCATATCAGAGACAGGGGCCGTTTGCGATTGTTGCTCAAATGGTGGAGTCTTCAGGTCACATGTCATAGATCACGGGTTCGAGTCTGGCTGGGGACTTTGGGGGGGGGTCTTGTCCAGCTTGTCCTGTCATCTCTTCAAAACGAACACATAGTTCCCTCTGTATAGCACTACACATATCTGGCCATCAGGCACATACATCTCGCCATACAGTTACACAGAGCACACATAGACTGCACATATCTGGCCTTCGGGCACATACATCTTTACAGCTACACAGAGCACACGTAGCCTTCGGACAGATACAAAACACATGGCCCTATGGGCTCATAGCCTCATACAAACATACATAGCCTCTGGGCATACACACATACACACAAATTACGATACTGGGCTGGGGGGTCTATCAGGTATATGACGGGGTGTACTCACGCATGGCTTTGCTCTAGGGTAGGGGTAGGGATATAAGTCGCTCCGAATAGTCTGAGCTCCGCCTAGCCTTGAGTAAGCCAGGGGAAGGACGGTAGGATGTGTCCGCGGGCGCTGGCCTGCCTTGCTTAGATAGTCCTGCTGGGCAGACTCTCTGAATTGGGCCTATAGAAGATTGCATGAGCCTGGCATCTGAAGTTCCCGTACGGCAAGGTTCGTCCGCTTCCGCTTCCATCAGGGCTGGGAGGTTGGCCCAGCCTTGGTGCTTGTCACTGCTATCTGGTCCAAGTTGCCCTCGATACTGGTAGGGTGATGGTCCAGAGTGCTGGTCACACTGAGGTAGGATAGTAGGGACAGGGGGTGCGCTGGGACTCCTGGGAGTACTAACGTGGGGATGGGTAGGGTAGGTGGCCTATCCTGTCAGGACAGCCATTGGCTGCCGTTACTAGCAATCATCGCGGGTCTGGTCCTTGGCCTCTACAACACCCTGGGCTTACGTAATCGGTCAGTTTCAAAAACGACCGATTACGTGGCATCTGAAGTTCCCGTACGGCAAGGTTCGTCCGCTTCCGCTTCCATCAGGGATGGGAGGTTGGCTCAGCCTTGGTGCTTGTCACTGCTGTCTGGTCCAAGTTGCCCTCGATACTGGTAGCATGATGGTCCTGAGTGCTGGTCACACTGAGGTAGGATAGTAGGGACAGGGGGTGCCCTGGGAGTATTAATGTGGGGATGGGTAGGGTAGGTGGCCTATCCTGTCAGGACAACCACTGGCTGCCACTACTAGCAATCACCGCGGGTCTGGTCCTTGGCCTCTACAACACCCTGAAAAAACAAAACCGATTAGGTAATCGGTCGTTCTTGAAACGGACCGATTACGTGGGGAGAACATAGCTGCAACAAGTCGGGGCGCAGGAAGGCAGGCCGCGGGATAGTAGAAGAGGGCAGGCGGGGCGAGGCGAGGGAATACGCGGGAGGGAAGGTGGGGCAAGGTGCGGAAGCCAGGGAAAGGAAGGTGGCGGATTTATTATTATTATTATTATTATTTTTTAGTGCCCCGATGGGCGACGGATCAAATATTAAACTGATCAGAACAGCTACTACACTTGATCTTAGCGAAAAGGCCGAGAAAGGTGAAGGCGGGGAAAGGTGGGGGATTGAAGGCGGGGGAAGGTGGGGGATTGAAGGCGGGGGAAGGTGGGGGATTGAAGGCAGCGGAAGGTGATGGATTGAAGGCTGCGGAAGGTGGGGGAATGCAGGGGAAGGAAGGTGGCGCAAGGCGGAGGAAGGCGGGGCAAGGTGCGGGAGGGACGCGGGGCAAGGTGCGGGAGGGAATGCGGGGCAAGGTGCGGGCATGGCGGGGGAATGCGCGGGAGGGAAGGTGGGGCAAGGCGGAGGAAGGCGGGCAAAGTGCGGGAGGGAAGGCGGGGCAAGGTG